GTATTCAGCATCTCTCTGCATACCTCAATTTTAAATCATTGTAATAAAAAAATAAATTGTATCTGACGTATTTATTTAACGCCAGCATTGTAGTACGTTTTATTGATACTTTTAGTTTTCTTTTATCTTCTTTGTTAGTTTTTATGTTTTATAGTTTAAATGTAAGTATTATGAACTAGCTGTTATCCTCGACTTCGTCCGCGTTGAATAATGACTTCGGGCAAAATTTTCGAGGTATATCATATTGTTGATATTGTTGTAGTTTGTAACAAATGTCATCACGAATCTGACTTATTTAATTCAATAATGATTAATATTACATTTGTCAAAATAAATTCGTAAATATTCTATATTTTATTGTAAAGCAAAAACAAAGACTGTGGGTATGAACTTGTATTAAAGCTGGACAGCACAGTATCTGAAAAAACGAGTCGAGAGAGAAGGCTGAATGTATATGGGCGTCCTTTTCTAATAGGGTACGCATAAACGTTAAAAAAAACTGTTATCTTTGCGAATAACCATACTACACTGATTGGTGTTGACATGGTAATAAATTCGGCACAATTAACTCAGAAACTGGATTTTATTTATAAATTTATATGCAACACACAGGCAGTAAAAAGGTTAACATGTATATTATGTATATAGATCGAAGATACATAAATATGAAGCTTTTTATTTATTGTTTAAAAACACTGGTTTACAATTAAAAACGAAAAAGAAAATGAACGAATAAAAAAAATACAGCCATTAATTAGATACTTTATTAGTTGTTTGTGTTTTTATATTTGTGAATGCAGTAACTCCTCTGAACAGGTGTTAAAAGCTCTGGAAGACCGGGAAAAATAGTCATCTCCCCTATCTGGTCCAAGACATAACTATTTTTCCCTTCTTCTAGTCTTCCGTTTCTCGCATCCAATGCATTGTAAATGTGTAATACTTGTGTAATATCTAAATCGAGTACGGGACACGGTTTATTTCGAAAAAGAAAACAATCAAAATTAACTATTATGTTTTTCGGCTTACTCACGTAATTATATGACGCGTCGCGGAATGCTACTCATGAATTATACGAGCTTCGAGCATGGTTTGAAGCTAATCAAGTTCCTCGACAAATAATTACGTGAGTAAACCGAAAAAACATGTCATGCGCCATTGCGCACACATTTGTAGTGGTTTCGATTTCCACACCCAACAACTCTTTGTGTGATCCACAGATTGTTGTTCCGGGTCTGGTTGTCATGTGTATGTGAACTTGTATGTTTGTCAACGCACCCACAACACAGGAGAAAATGCTAGTATCGGGTAATGTCTTTTAAAATTAAATATAAACAATCAAAATAATTTAAACAATAAATTAATAATTCATTTATTTATCAATTAAACACTACCAATTCAACTAACCCTATTTACCAAAACTACCAGCACTAGAGCTGGACTGTGCGGCGCCACCAGCCCCAAAACTGACACTCTCACTTTTTGAGAAACTCAATCCAGGATTTCCATAGCCGAATTGATCGTAGCCTGGAGCGCCATAGCCTCCGTAGCCGTGATAGCCTCCGTAACCATGGTAACCGTAGCCCGGTCCGTAAAATCTGTGTCCGAAGCCATGTCCGAAGCCGTGTCTAAAATAGCCTGGTCCTCCAAAACCATAGCCTCCAGGGTAGCCGGAAAAACCTCCGCCAATAACTCCCCCAATACCGAACACTCCAAACTGTGGAGCTGAAATATAAGAAGAACAATAGTTTGGATGTTAATTTTTCATTAAATTTAAAATTTTACCCTAGACAAAGTGTCACATACCTAAGGGCCATTGACCAATGCTAAAATATAACGATAAGGTAAATACGCTACGTTCTAACAACAATATTTTCCTGATTCAAAAATAACATCTGTTAACTTCACACATCCAAGCATATATAACTTTTTGCAAAAGAACGACGCAAAGATTGTAATATTTTGATCGCAATGACTTTCAAGTATTCTTCTACTTCTTTCAAATAATAATAATTATGTATTATGGGCACTTTCATCAGTTTTCACAAGTATAAAATAGACACTATAAAAATTTACCTGAATCACAACATCTCAAGCTGACTAAAACTAGAACAGCAAGCGCACAAACAATAAGACGCACCATTTTGAATTTAACTAGTGATACTGGCAACAAAACAAGGTAGAACACTTTATATCAAACGTATGAACCACAAGCAAACGTAAGTGACAAAGTTAACACTATACGTTTAACAATGTTAATAAATCTTACTAAATAGGAATCGATCGAGCTAGGTAAATATAATATTGGTTGAACAACTAGTATTTTGGCGTTTCCAATATTAATGTCATATACAATGTCACGGCGATTTTTGCGTTTGGGGTTTTCCAAAAACTTAAGAGCTGGAATGAATCTTCGGTATCATGTTTAACAAGATCATCGTCTTTTTGTCTAAAATTATGTGCTCCTGCACATTTATTGAATTTTATTGAATTTTATTGTCAACATTTATTGAATTTTATTGTCTCAGTGTGTGGTCTCTATAATTCAAGTATTGTTAATTGTACTACATAGGTATATACTCGTATTATAAATGGACTTGTTTGTTTGTTGGTTCCTCACGTCGACACGGTTGAAGCAATCGAAATGAAAGGAGCAGGGGCAGATTATGGTCTGAAATAACTCATATCCCACGAGACGCGGGCAAAGCCGCGGGTGGAAGTTAGTGTTCAGGTGATGTAAAGATCTGTTTATCCACTAAAACTATTGTAATACATTAGAAACCATCTGGTCTATGTTTATTTTCAATCAATAGTATTATTTCTTTCTAAAATTCATATCTCATTTCTCTATTGTAGTGTAGTGATATAATTGTTTCCTTTACATCCGCCACCTCACTATTGTCATTTGTTTCTTTTCGCTCTTTGAAAACTGACTAACTAAACTTCCACAAATCCCTGACGTGCCGATTGCCTAATTGCGCACCATGAAGTGATCTGTATGCAAGTTTGTCACCTTATCCAAAACTACGAAAAAGTAATTTTAAAAACAGCAATATTTCTCATCTAGAATATCCATATCCAGTGCCTTCCTATAGTAGCAGAAAAAAAAGTTGCAAATGTTCCATGTCCATTCTGTTTAATTTTAATTAGGGTGATAAAGTGGACGTGCGTCCTGCTCTTCGAGCCAAAGCCCCGGCAACCCGGGAGTAAACCGAAAAACCCGAGTGGGAGAACCCTAATCTATACATATATAATACGGAGGTTATACGCCGGTTATACGGTCGTGCGGTCCATGGCCCTCTACGGCGCCCCTGTCTGGGCGCCGAACCTGTTGCGGCGGCCCGCTCGGGCGGTGCTCATGTAACAGAGGGTCATGTCGATCCGAATAATCCGCAGATACCGCACGAACTCCGGGGAGGCCGCAAAATTCCTTGCCGGATTACCGCCGTGGGATCTGGAGGCGCAGGTGCTCGCGCGCATGCGCGCGGAGGCACGTCGCCGGGGCGAAACTCCGCTGCCGCGTCAGATAAGTGCGTGGCGGGATAAGCTCCGGCGCGATCTCATGGCGGAATGGCAGCAACGACTGTCGCAACCGAGGGCTGGGCTCGCTGCCAATGCAGCGGTAAGTCCCCTCTTTGAGAAGTGGCTTGAGAGACGCTACGGCGTCATCACCTACCGCCTGACGCAGGTCCTCACCGGACATAGTTTTGGGAGATACCTGTGTCTGATGGGGTGGGAGGAAACGCCCGGGTGCCATCACTGCGAGGGCCAACCTGAGGACACGGTGGAACACACAGTGGGGGAATGCTCTGCGTGGGCTGAGCACCGCTGCGCCCTCAGGGAAGTGATCGGCGATGGCGACCTCTCGCGTCCTGGCCTAGTGCGGATCATGATGCGGAGCGAAGGGGAATAGAATGCCTTCTCCTGTTTTTGCGAAGCAGTTATGCTAGCTAAGGAGGAGGCGGGACGCGTCCACCACAGATGGGGCCCAATAGAGCCGATGCCGATTCGGAGTCGCGGAGAACCTAACGGGTAACCGGGGCTCCGGCTCGACGTGCAGGAGAAGGAACGGGGTGGTTTTTAGTCAGTAAGAGTCTGACACTCCCTCCCACCTCACCATATTATGACCTTTTAAAACGGATTTTGATTATTTTCACCCCCAGTGGGGTAAAATTCGGCAAGCAGGTAGATGTAATGACATAAACATATACATATATATATATAAAATGTTATAAACATAATGTATATATTTACATCATATATATATACACATATATATATAGATCGGAGGTATACAGGTAGGTACTGCATATTCTAGTAGGTAATAAATTAAATGGAAGCTTTTTATTTCTTATTTAAAAATATAGTCTCCAATATAGAAGGAAAATATTTAAACAGCGAAACGGTATGCTTTAATTAGATACTTTATTGTTTTTTGGTGTTTTTATATTTACATAATAACAACACGCCTGTTATCCCCGAAGGGGTAGGCAGAGGTGCACACAGAAGTAACACCCACTTTTCACTATTTATGTTATGAGTCCCATGTAATAGGGGGTGAGCCTATTGTCATATACAGGGAACATTTCCAGACTCCGTGCTACTACTGAGATTTTTTTTTAAAAACCCTGTAATTCTTTTCCTGACCCCGAATCGAACCCGAAAACCCATGTCCGGCAGTCGCACTTGTGACCACTCGGCTATCGAGGCATAAACGTCTAAAATAAAAACTAACCAACTCAGCTCTTTGGTTTTAATGTATTGACTCAAATTATTAGAAATAAATCACAGAACTACCATTGGATTTGGCACACACTCTTGTGTTGCTAAAGTCAATAACCGAGGTAGGTAATATAAATAATTAATTTAGACGTGGATCTTATTTTATTTCACATTTATGTTGTTGATGGGATATTATTTAACAATTGAGAAACAGCAGCTTACATTATACCACTTGTAAACAGGTATCTACGCCTTTTACTGCTGGATGTGCCATTCAAGTCCTACCCCGTTATAGTGATATTGCTAAAGTTATCACCATTTTCACCATCACCACCTCCGTAGCTGTTTCCTCCATTACCAAGATTAAAAACGTCATCGGGAGTGCCTCCATCTGAGGGCACAGTGTCAGCGTTGTCCTTTATACCTGAAATGAAAAGTGATTCATTACCATTTGCAATACAGCGGTCTTTCGTCAAATCAGATGTGATATTACAAATATCACAACATTAAGACTCAGTGATAGTATAATGGGTTAAAGTAACCATTACATAGTACGCTTCTTTTGTTGGCATTTGTGTGCACCGTTCAATACGTACCTTCGATATTTATGTTTTCGAAGTTCCCACCATTTCCAGCATTACCATTTCCATAGGCAGCTCCTCCATTGCCAATATTGGTTTGTTGTGCATTATCTTTGATAACAATGCTTGATATGGTGGGTGCAGCTACTGTAATGGAAATGGAAGGCGATACATCACTACCTGCAGTATAGCTGTCCTCTGTCCAATTAGAAGTGATATTACAACCATCAGAATATTGAGGTTCAGTGTGGTTTAGCATGAACAACCGACAGCGAAACCATCAAATATTCGAATCTACTTCATGCAGGTGTGCTGAAACTATCCTAGATTAGTATTCGGACTTAAGAGAATGTGTGGGATCGTCTTTTGATAATTAAACTGACTCCCTATTGTTCTGAATGTTATAAAGTATACTGAATGCTAGAACACTTATTGGTTTTATTAATACCACGAAGTCATTTAGCGATTGTCAAATAGAAAATATTTACCTGTACCTGTCAGCTGAATGTTATGATGTTGAGGACGATGTGTGAATGATGGTATGTTGTAAAAAGTCCATGGTGTTGCCAAAGTTGATACGATCGACGAACACAGTAATAACAGTAGAGCAACAGAACGTGCCATCTTGTAAGAGGACAATGCAATACTAATAAAAGGGAAAATATATTTAAGATATGTATATATGTAGCTGGGCTTTACATTCTGCAATATTTGAGACAACAATAAAATACGAACAAGTGTACTTCGATGCACTTTATATAAGTCACGTCCATGTCTTTACGTTTAACCGACTGACTCATCCTCCCCCTCTGTACCCCGTTACCGCGAAGCGTGATGGTGGCTGACGCATGGTGTTCGTGGTTTTCGTACAATATAATTATGACGTCACAGTAAAATAGATGACACCGTGATGTTGTTATGGTCCTTAACATATTTTACGAAAGCGATTCGATACTCATCATCATCACCAACAGCCTATAAATGCCCACTGTTGAGCAAAGCCTCTTCTCATTCGGAGAAGGTTTGACCATTAATCGCCACGTTTACTCAATGCGGGTTACGATGCGATACTATTTCACCTGAATGATTAATGATACTGTTCAAGTCTAGCGTAATAATTATAAAACTAGTTTAGCTCTAGTAAAATAATTAGGAGTGTAATAATTATGTAGTTACGTTCGGCACAAATGCTAAGGCGAATAGGCGACGGAGCCCGCAGCGGGGCACCATTTTCTGCCCACTAGTTTTGAAGTAGGCAACCTAATGAATGACATGACGGTAGCTAAGGTTCGCTTATTTGTTCACTACAATTTCCGTCATGCCATTCAAACTTAGACGCCCACCGCGTCGAGTTGCCCTTTTTAAAAATAATAAAAACGGTGAAAACAAATTTTATGAATGTCTTTCGAGTGTATTATTATTTCCTTAAAATAGTTCGAGCTCCAAATGAACATGGAAAAGACGAAAGTCATGTCGGACGCCCTACCAGATATCAGTTGGGAGCTCTAAAGACTATTTCACGCGGTCGATTTCGCGGGTAACAGCTAGTAGAATATAAACGAAAGGATCGACATATTTCATTTGAGCTGTCTTGTTCCCGAGCAATGCCTAATCAATTACATTGAACTCGATCTGTTTTTTTCCTCCTTATTTCGTTAAACGTGTTTTGAGATAAAGGAATTTCAGGTACCTATATAAAAGATTCATAATTTTTGACACCATTAGTATTGCATTGTCTGCTCACAAGATGGCACGTTCTGTCTCTCTACTGCTGGTGTTTGCGTTGATTGTATCTACTTTGGCAGCACCATCTGAACCGAAGGTAGAGGGTTAGTATTTTGTATTACACAATCGCAATCGGTGAGTAATTTTGATTTGACATATTTTCATAGTGAAGTCTTTACTTCAAGTCTTCAACTACTAAGGGTAAGTTATTCTGTCTGCACAGGTAAAATCGTAAATCTATGAAGGCTATTGTCTTTGTTTCACATTAGTTTATTCTATTTGAAAATGTAACTATATTTGTGTCACTCTAGATCTAATATAAAAAGTAATCTGTGGAGAACGTAGTGGGTAACATATTTGCCAAGTATAATGTGTAAGCTGAATTATGTATATTTTGTAATATGTTACTGTTTGTTTTTCCTTAAATAAATAAATAAAATAATTTTATCACTCCGCGTCGCGTCCAAAAGTCCAAACAGTTCTTTGTTTTCGTACGTAACTCAATATCGTTGATTAACTGGTTTCTCTGCAGATTCATACAGGATATGCAACTTATTGTTTCGTTTTTGTATAAATATGTATGATAGTTCTTCTAGATGGTTTTTTAATTTTATTATGAACATGTATTTAATTGAATACTGGAATGCAGCTAGCAATAGGCTCAATTCCACTGAATCACCGAATATGACATGATGGGGCAGACCGCAGACGATGTCTATAGTAGTCTTGCAATGTGATCGGTTGATCGATCTGAAGCTCAATGTTTCACCTCACTTCAAGTCACACTAATGCCGTGAAGACTGATCACCTGATGGTAAGCAATCAGTGCCGCCCTCGGACACCAGAAACACCAGAGGTATTATTACAAGTGCGTTTCCGGGCTTTTGAAGATTATTGAGAATTCGGGGATTAGGGAGATTGGGGAGGGGGTAATTGGGCCTCTGGTAACCTTCTTTCTTTCATTTCAGGTGCAGGCGTCAATGTTCGAGGTGGGCCCAAAGAATCAAGCACTGCTGCCATAGCTGATGTTACGCCATTAAGGCGGGTCGCTCGACAAATCAATATTGGCAATGGAGGAAGCAGTTACGGATCTGGTAATGCTGGGAGTGGTGGCCACTTCGAAAACCTTAATTTAGGACGTGATAATAAAACTGATAATAAAACGGTCTAACCTGACCGATACTGATACCTGTATTTGAACAAACATGTTTGACTGCAGACATCACTAAGCAGACTGGTTTGTTGCATTATTTTGATGATGGTATGAAATAAATAAACAATAAATAGATTACATCATTCCCATCTGTACCATTTCCAATTCCAGATCCCTATTCCCATCATCTATGAATGATAGATGAATAGAAACTGCTGATGGTATTTTCTTCTCATATGTGTATTTAAATCTTAATTAAAAAAATGAAATGTTTCACTTATTCATTTTGTGTTTTATTTACCTGTTTCAATCATGCAAACGTTTTATCGTAAAGAGTGGATGTACGTTTAATATCCAAGAAGTTATAATTAGCTACACTTACGCAGTTTGGCTTCTGTTAACCGTAACGTGGTATTCTACCTACAGCATCATATATTTATGTATCCTTCCTCGGTATACATTTGGAAATCTAACCCAGAGGGCTCATAACGATTTTTTTTTGTTTTATATTAGATGGGACTGACATTTGACCACTATCTCGCCTGGTGGTAAGCGATGATGTGGCCTACGATGGAGCACTCATAAGCAACCTATACTCTCGGGCCTTGAAGACACTCAGGTTTCCACTCCAGTACGCACAAGGAAGCTTGATGCGATGCGCTTCGTGGGTGTGGGTGGGACATCTACCAGGAATCGGTGACGCTTCGCCGATTGTTTTGTGGTAAGATGATGGAAAGGACTAGGGGGAATCAAGTTGTGCATACTCACCGTTTATTCGGTAGGAGACTAAAAGGCATGCAACCTTACGCCTGTGTTCGAGGCTTTGAAGCCGGGCCTCCAAAAGCACATCATTGTTGATGAGTTTCTGAGATGGATGAGATGAATTAGTTTTACGTTTAACGAGATCGAAACGTCACCGCGTTTAACCCTCTGATTTGTTGGTTTATTGGAGTTGGCCAATCAGAGCGCTGAACGTCATAAACGTGGTGGTCACGTTAAACGTTGGTTGGTTAATAAGTCCTGCATCTTAGGACTTATTACGGATTAGGTCAAAGAAAAATTCAGTTAATAATAAATAGCGGTTTATTAGAGTTGTCCTTTTAAAAATGTCCATAAGTAGGTACAGACCTATTTTTTCTGTTATGCATAATATTATTCTATAAATCTCGAAACAAGGTATTTTAAGTAAATAATAATACACTGGAGACACTTTTTAAATACATTTTCACTAATTTCTTAATAATTTTTGTTTTAAATAAAAGTAAGTCATAAAACTAGAGGTATAAAAATATTAGCATAACTGCTATGTAACTATAACTAGAGGTGTAAAATAAAAAGTCTCATCCATAGTTTGCTTTATTTCCCAAATCCTATAGAACCAGCACTTGATTGTGCCGCTGATCCACCACGTCCAAAACTGATAGTACCGCTTCTGGAGTAACTTATAGACCCTCCAGAGAAACGCCGTCGCCCTCCGAAGCCTGATCCTCCAAAACCTCCATAAGGTCTGCCAAATCCCCTCCCGTAACCTCCAAATTGAGGTGAAGGCACTGGCGCTGGGTCGGGGTTTGGTGCTGGATTTGGTGCAGGGACTGAAATGAAATAAACAAGGTTATACAATCGGAAGTTAATACAAGTTGATCAAGTAAAATATATTTTGAATCTATATTGAAATATTTAGTACGCCTAAAATTTTATACTAGGCTGCCTCGTTTGCCGATTACCGAGCTCAGGTTCGATTCCTGGGTCGAGCAAAGAATTATGGTTTTTTTTTATTAATCTCAGTAGTAGCACGGAGTCTGTCTGGAAATGTGGCAATAGGATCCCCCCCTATTACATGGGACTCTTAACATGAATAGTGAAAAGTGTGTGTTACATTGTACAGTGGCATAAAGTGCTTTTCTCCCTTCCGGGAGAAAAGGGGTGATGTTGTGTTATTATATATTTATTTATTTATAATTTATTGCACACAGAAAAAAAATGTTAACATTATTTTAGTCATTTGAGTACAATGGGCGGTCTTATCTTATTATTGTTATGTTATGTATGTAAAATTTTATTTTGCAAAAGTAGATAGTTGATAATTTATTATATGTTCATGTTACCAAACCCTATTTTAGGACAATTTAGTTTTGCCTGCACTAAAATAATTCATGAAGCAGAACATAGGGCAGCCCGTCGTGATAATCAAATAGGTTTGGCGAAAGTTATCGGCAAACCTATCGCGCGCGGTATATAAGGTCGCGGAGAACCTAACGGGTAACCGTGGCTCCGGCTCGACGTGCAGGAGAAGGAACGGGGTGGTTTTTAGTCAGTAAGAGTCTGACACTACCTCCCGCCTCACCCAAGCGGGAGCATTCATTCGATGATTTTCCCCCTTTAAAAAAAATACTTTAGGTTTCTTCAAACCTTACGTAAAGGAACAGGAGCCCCGGCCAGCAGGGCTCCGTTGGCTCGTATTAATTTGGTCTAGGCAAAACTAGTTTGTATATTGATCACTATATTAACTCGTCGAGTACCGGTTTTATAGACACAATTAAAGAACAATGGGTCGCGGTCACCGGTGACCGCTTGGTGTTTGACAGTTTAATAGCTTTTAATTAAAAGAAACCTAATCAGGTTATGATATCGATAATAATTATTCACAATTACATTGGGTCTGTAAAGTATTATTAATTTCTTTACATAATTATTTATTTTTTGTCATAAAAGATTATAGTCATTGAAACTTATTTATATAATAAAATCATAATACATGTTAAAGAAATCTAGCAATTAATTAGTTCATTAAGATAAAAATTAACAAACCTGCGTCAATACAAACGACTACTAGAAGAGCAAACACACACAATAATAAACGAGACATTATAAATAAATTAATTAATACTAATTTCGAGTTCACTGCGATCACATATGGCTCAATACTAAGATAATCAGTTACTGGCACGATACCATGATCATCCAAATATATATATATATCAGACGGAATCATTGAACCACGAAAGATAAACACTAGTCATAATTTTAGCATCTACCATGTTATATCGTAGGAAATTCCTACAAGTATGCCATTCTCCTTT